ATTACAATAATGAGATGGAACACGTAAGTTAAAATCATCACATGATTCTAACTTACGTGGTACGTAACTGTACTTTAGGCAGTGAAACAAAGCATGTTATGATAGTAAAATAGTGACGTGAAGCAAGAAACAAAAATGCTAGTAGTTTTAAAGATATATTAAATATTTGCCAAATATAAAAGTACTTAAGTATATATTGAGCTATGTCTAGTTCAATATATTAAAATGAATATTTCGCTTCCTTTTTGCACAAGTACAAACAAAATGAGGGTTAAGTTACCCTTTAATATGCTTTCAAAATAGACAAGAATGATCAATAATAAAATGACAAAATTTATGCAAGACCATAACAAAAATATTTTGAGATATTCTTATTGCTGTATGTCTCCTCATTGTACCAAGTCAGGGGAATTGAGATGTAACAAACCTACTTATGGGGCTAACTCATGAAATTTCAAAAACTGTTATTTAAGATCAGAGAAATAAAGGTTATTGAAGAAAAAAAACCTGAAACTATGGTCAACACATCAGATATGGAATTAGCATTGATACGTGACGTTTGCTACATTGCACAATAAATGTTTGTCATTCAAACAAACAAAAATTAGCTTATAGACATTTTCTGTTACCTATTTATCCCATATGGTAGACAATTACCAAGAACTATTGAATGCACTCTCTTATCACGTTGTCTATGACAAAATTTCGTCTCCAATTTTGATTGTACAAAAACACTATATCTACAAAATTTAATGCCAAATGTCAACTGAAAGCTATAAGAGTTCTGAAAAAAAGCCATATCTTCCAGTTATATCTTAAGAAGTAATGGATTTTACTTCCAACGTGGTGCAAAAAGGCGTCCTATATAAAATGGTTGGGTATAAGTCTCTAAATAAATAATCATCAAAGCAATACTTTCAATGTTTCAAAATTGTAAATTAAAACAAGATACCTAGAACGAAATGCAAGATAAGTAACTGCTGTACCTTTGTTCAATTAAATTTGAGGTAAGTTTTAATCTCCTCCTGATTGCGTCAACATCTGTGTGTTTTTCTTTTCCGTTTATCTTATACAAAATCTTACACACCAGCTTGTGAGCTTTCAAATTCAATTTGTTTATCAGTTTATCTGAGATATAGCTGGAATCAAGTACATATAGTTTATGTTGGTTGTGTTAATTTCTTATACAATTTCATTAATACGTTAGTAGGGCATTATGGAGATTGTAGCCTTCTTATCAAATAATCAATGTGTAGCATTTTAATTTTTGCCTGTAATCTTTTTGGGCGCGCTTTTTTCCCTCTGGGAAAATGCAAATTTTCCACAAATGTCATTGACACTCGTATTTCATATGTCCTTGAAACTAGTATTCTACATATGTCATTGACACTAGCATTCCACTTATGTCCTTGGCACTCGTGTTTTATATGTCCTTGACACTCGTATTCCACATCGGTCATGTTTTGATACTCGTATTCCTATAAACGTTTAAATTTGTCATGCTCTTTAATACTTCTATTTATATTTTGTGCTTTCTCGTTCTCCAATGTTGTCTTCTTTATTTAACGGCACAATATGTTCCCCTCGTTTCTATCTGTTAAATGAATCACCGTATTCTTTCCATTTAAAAATGGTTATTTTCATGGTCTTCAAAATTCTTTTATCTGTATCGGTGTCATTCTGTTGTCGAATATAGATAACTCTAGTTTGTAAAAATGCCTCCCATATCCTCTCCTTTCAAATCGTCCAGTTTGTAAACACATGGTTCATAACAAGTCCGATTTGAATTAATTCCTCATTAAAGTTAAGAAGGTAGACGTTTGTAAAGATTGCTATTTATGTTGACTTCCGATTGACCAATGTTCAACTTAAGTGTTCTAAATGTGTCAGTCAACAGGCAGCCATACTGTTCGATTCGACTGGAGTTTATTAATCTATTATGAGTGATAATGTAGCTTTTTCTGTTTTAATTTGAGTAACATACTTCCTCCACCTGTATCTTTAAATGTTTTCTGCCTTTGCATATTTTCCTAAATGATGTGTGCATGCCATAATCCTTTTTCTATTTCCAAATAATAAATGTATTTGACAAAATGGGTATCATTATTAACCTGTACTTCATCTAATATTGCCTTTGTAAATGCATGCAACTTCTACCTACCATCGCTCATTCATGTGACTTACATAAAACGTTTTTGGTGAATATTTTGTCGCTTGTATGTGTAAGCTGTAGACATAATGCTTCGTACGTCTGTCTTTAAGTTCAGTGTGATACCAACCTAGAGTGACATTTGTGAAAGCATCTGGACTTTTAGCAGACATGTACCATCATGCCTCACCCCGACACATTATCCTGACACCAGGTCGACCAGTCCTAACACTGATCTCTTAATGACGAACGCAAAGCAAGGCAGCTGCAAATCAAATTTCAAAGGTCTTTTGTATGACTCGACCTTGATTACAATGGCTAGATACTGTTCCTTGACACACATTAAAACGAAATGAAAATATAGTTATATTAATTTCTTTATGCCTGGTAAATTGTCTTTGGGAATTATCATAAAGCCAATTGGACATCCATTTTAACAGGAACATCAATACTTTAAGCGTATAAATGATTTAACATTTATGTCAATACCTTAAAATGTATAAACGATTCAATATTTATGTCATGGTTTACCATTCAAAGGACTGAATGTTACATACTGAATAAGTCTTCTGTTTAAAAACGAACGTTGTTTTCAGTGATTTCTTTTTTTACTTTTTGTTAATTTTTTTTGTAATGTTAATGAGATTATCAACTTGTACCTTTATACATAATTGAATACAAATCTGTGCATTATACACACTAATTACCTAATCTATTAATTCCCCGTACTGAACTTTTATAACCATCTTGCTAATAGTGTTCATGTTGCTCATTTTAATGCTATTTTCAGTAAATACAATCTGAAAGTATGTAGTTTCCTTAATGTTAAAATGTATTTTAGTTATGTTTGAAATTACACAAAATTACCGTTTCTTTACTTGATGCCTTTCAAAAACACTACCAACTTTAGCCGTAATTTAGTCACGTCTAAATTTGTATTCAAATAAACAATGCCATACTTGCGTATAAGTCTAGTCAAACTGCAAACAACAAAGATCCTGATCGACCGTAGCATAATGTGCCTGTCGATCCGGATCAGTATTGTTTGTTCTACTGAGTGTTCCTCTAAATCTGGTAGAGTTTGGATCTGTACAATTTGCCGTTGGGCACGTCTTATAATCGGATATTATCGTTAGCTCTACCTGCTAACAACGTTGCTTTCATGGTTAACTCATCAAATTGTTCAATTAGATTATTCAAAACGTGAATTCAACACAATGTAGCTTTATGCCATTATTTATGATGTATACATATTTAAACTTTTCTTCGTATACTTTCTCCTCCAGTAATTGTTTGAACTATGAAGCAATGTCCACTGTCTGATTGATCCAGTGATTGTAAGATTGTACGAAACTTGACTGTACTAGAATTAGACTTCTGGAAATATAATGATGCAATCATTTATGTGTAAAAGGGCAAATCCTAAGAAAATAGAGATTGTATTATTTTCAATTTACTGTTGTCAAATTGCCCTCTTTTTTATCTTATTATTACCAACGCAAACATGACACGAAACATTCAACAAATTCCTCCTGTAACTTAAGGATCTCTTGACACAGCTGTAATAAGTTGGATCCCTTCATTTCTAAGCCAGAAACTTTCAAAGAAACGTGACTTAATGCACAGAAAACTGCTGACAAAGTTGATATCTCTACTACAAAACATTTTCTAACAAAACCGATAATAGTAATGTTCCGAAATCCTATTATCAGGGGAAGTGTCCATCAACTTGGATTGTCAGCGGATTCCTGTTTGGATTTTCCTCTATTGGTTTGTGACCATATCAATGAAAACATTGCTTCCTGAATGTGTCTTCATGCCTCCCAGGACATATTCCGGCTACATTAATAAGGAACATTTAATCAACACAATGCCTGCTTCCAAATATACTACACCCTTGAGAGAAGTATTAAATTATTATAGGAGAACTTTTCATAGGTTTATTTTTGCTCACTTGGAAGGTATCAAATTTAGCTTGAACCGATGAATAAATGGCACGTAATTCGCTGGTAAAGAAGATAAACTTGAAACGATATGTCAGTTTTGCACCACTTTATTTCGTATGGATTGTTATGAATACATGCATACGTGCCTAAATACCTATGTGCATACATACCTACCTACCTACCTACCTACCTACCTACCTACCTACCTACCTACATACATACATACATACATACATACATACATACATACATACATACATACATACATACATACATACATACATACATACATACATACATACATACATACATACATACATACATACATACATGGGGGCCCCGAGTGGCCGAGTGGTCTAAAGCGCTGTCCGTTACGGATCACTGCCATCTCACCTCTGTCTGCGTGGGTTCGAGTCTGAGATTCGGCGAATGTGGATATGTGAGAAAGCTTGCCAGTAGCTTCTCGTGGGTCGGTAGTTCTTTCCGGTGATTTCCCGGTTTCTTCCTCCACCATTAATACTGGCCGCCATGAATAGCCTATCATGTGCTGAAAAATGGCGTTAAGCCCAACAACAACAACAACAACAACATACATACATACATACATACCTACATACCTACCTACATACATACATACATACATACATACATACATACATACATACATACATACATACCTACCTACCTACCTACCTACCTACCTACCTACCTACCTACCTACCTACCTACCTACCTACCTACCTACCTACCTACATACATACATGCATGCATGCATGCATGCATGCATGCATGCATGCATGCATACATACATACATACATACATACATACATACATACATACATACATACATACATACATACATACATACATACATACATACATACATAAATGCATAAATGCATACATAACCGCTCCTGTGGCCTAGTAGTTAGAGCTTCCGCCTCAGATGCGGGAGGTCGTGGGTTCGAACCCCGGTCGAGTTATACCAAAGACTTATAAAAATGGTACTAACAGCTGCCTCGCTTCACGCTCAGCATTAAGAGGTTATTGTTAGGACTGGTCGGCCTGGTGTCAGTATAATTTGACTGGGTGGGACATCATGCTATATGTCTGCGGCATGATGCCCTATTGCTAGGCTTCACTAAAAACTGCTACACTGCAGACATCATAGCGATATGACTGAAAATTTTTTTAAAGCTACGTTAAAAATCCAAATCACACACACACACACACACACACACACACACACACACACACACACACTTTATTATTTTGTTATTGATTTGTACTACATCTAGTCTTTGCAAAAGAATAACAAAAATTTAATACAAGTGATGTTCAAGATGAAGGAAGATCTGAAAGAAGAAAGTTCTTCTTGCACCAAAATAACTTAAAGTTTCTTGTATAAAGATAATCTACCATTAGTGTATGATTACAATATCCCATACTAAATATAACAGTTGACTGAATTTCTTCAATATTTTTTATACCTTAACTGGTATGTAATAAGGACAAGAAGAGAATTCAACATCACTATAAATCTCTTAGTAGATTAGATATATTGTAAGAGAGATTCATTGGTCTGTATAATTTTTTGTCGTAAATTTTAATAAACCATTTTCTTTTTCACATTGTGTATTACATATGCAAAACTGTCCATGGAAAATTACATTGAATTGATTCCTTTGGCATGTCTTTCATAATGCATTGTTCTTTGATGTCTTCGTTATGGCCTGCTGGTCTAACATAGGGCCTGCAGCGGTGATATAACAAGCACTGTTTCGTGCTTACCGGTCAGCTGATGATCAAAACAGAAAAAAAATGTAATATTTTATTCATTTTTCAATATATATTTTCTGAATTACACTTTATAATTTGTATACAATGTCAGATTTAATATTTTTGGCTTCCGTACACTCATCATAATGATAGTATACAGAAACTGTTGTGTGATCATATTGGTACTATTTGCAGTATGGTGCCCAGGAAACTTAGAAATGTGAGCGCTGTTTAGGATTGTGTTGTTATACTTGGATTTACAAGTTGTCAAACAAATAATTTGATTCGGAAATATGTTGTATATATCGCAAAAGAACCCTTCAGTCGACGGGAGCTCAATAGCCGTGAAAAATACCGGCATGTATGTAAAATGTACACCGATGTGTGCAGAAAAAAGTCATAACAAAAGAACTTCCCGAATTTCAAATAAGCAACAACAATTATGAATTTGATTATGAAGCTAGTTTCTATATGGATATAAAGAACATACATAACAAGCATAGAGCACACACTGGACAACATATATCTATGGCAAAGATCACGTAAATAAAAAAATTTTGGAAACCAGACTGTGCTTCAGAGTGATATACAAATAAGAATATGGAGGTGTACAAACCATAAATTTAAATTACATAAAAACGAAATTTATATTTTAAAAAAAAAACAAGCACAAACATTTTGGGGAACAAAAATACATACAATCCATTCAATTTCGGCAATAGGGGTTCCTCAGATGATGCTAATTCTGAGAGGAACCACAGCAATAACGAAAAATGTGTCTGCCGATAATTGCAGCTGTAATGAATTGGTGAAATCATCCCCTAACACCAACATCACTATCATCACAGATGAAAAGCTGAATTATCGGCCTAATCATTGGGATTTAGTGTTCATATCGTATGAAAATAACAATAATCTTGGAAAAAAAGAAGAGCAAAAGTGAAGATTATAAAACACCGTTTTCACAATATATGAGATACAATAGATGCAATTAGTCAGGTAGAAGGTCATTGACCGTCTTACAAATTACATAACCCTTATGCAATGAATCACTTTCAAAATATGATAATCAAATTTAATATGGAAAACAGTTCAGACGGTAGTGTGATAATAACAGTTTCTAGAATTATTTAAAATTACACGATGTCACTGTCAGAGGCGCTTTATACAGGAATCATTTCCACAAACATCGATAAAAAATAGATTATCCACCCTTGTGTCACAACCCCCTACAGGAAACATTATCAACCCGAGTTTCCACGACCCCCAACCCCTACAGGAAACATCTCTGTCATTCACCAATACCTAAGCGTTTTATCAAAGTTTTAACTCTAATTTTACTAAAGGATAAGTCATATTTAGTCAAAATGAGGGCTATCGTGCAAGAGCAATAGATGTGGCTAACTTCCGATTGCTGTCATTAGAGGACCAAGCCATGACGCAAGCCATCCGAATGAGTGGCCCATTGCCATAATGTGAAGATTTTGTAATGGGAGTCAATGGTTGTTTATTGTTTTGCCGGGGTGTGTTGCTTTTTTAATTTTTGAACCACTGATATATAATATTTTAAGGGACTGTACGATGCCAGAGAAATTTATATCGAAGTTTATCTGAGTCTGTTTTTGTAATGTATTTGCTATCCGAATAAACTGTTCTCAGGTTCTTGAAGAACAGCAAGGAAAAATAGATCAAACAAATAAATAGAACTTATAATCTGCAATACAATCCTTTTTCAAATAAGCAAAAAAATAGATTGCTGGAGTTTCAAGACCAACAGAAAAATCGAAATCATACACATTTATTACCAACATAAAGTAACCTTTTTCTGTCTATTCAAATAAAAGATAGACAGTAATAAACAGGTATAGAACTAATTTCTCAATAAAACCAAAAGGAAAAACTACGAGCGATTCTTAAGCATTTTATAAATGTTAAAATTGAGTCAAGATTCAAATGTTTTTAATCAATCTATTTATATTAAAACGAGCACTTTGTTTACTTTTAATCATTGGAACCCAAAAACTTTAGTCATTAAAAAATATAATAAGTACAACCTAATTTATTCCACGGGTGTTTTATTGATTGCGCTAATGTCCCACCCAATCCCATCAAGAAAAACACCACACACCACACACACACACACACACACACACACACACACACACACACACACACCTGCAAAGTTCACTCTCTATTGCCACACTCAGACAACAATTACAGGTATCATACTATATTATATCATATACGCCACGTATATTGTTCTCCTTCCTGCCATTATAGTAGCCGCTAAAGTGTTCGGACATGAATAATATCTGACGGTACTTTTTCTTTACGACCCTGGAAATCAACACTACTATTGCAGTGAAACGCGTATGAGATGTATTTAATGGCTAAATTCGTAATATGGCATCATCAGAAATTGACCTTAGGCAGTTCTAATTCTGTTTTCAAACAGTCACTCCCCAAGATGTCATGTCGATTTGAATCCGTTCAAACATGTATATAAATATCTTCGTTTATTCTGCAAAATCGATGCTGGACATTGATACATTACAGATGTGACACGTATTGGTATCAACCAGTGTTAATGTTTCCATTGCAGATGCAGTGTGTTCGGAATATTGGATAATATTAATCCTATCATAAGCAAGCTGGAGATTTATCCCTAATTCGTTTGCTTACTTCTACATCCAGTCGAGAAAATGTTCGATTTATTAGCACGAAATAAGAAGAATTTACTCAAGCCGAAGGTGTGAAGAGATCTGGAACCATTCTGGTAACATGATCTGGAACCATTCTGGTAACATACGATTATTATCCAATTGCTTTCAGTCGCGCTAGGATTGGACGCAACTCATAATCTTTATACAAGGCTAGATTTTGTGCAGGCAGCTTGTTAACTAGCCCCAGGGGTTGTACCAGACAACCATAAAGGATGCAATATTCCTTTTTTCTTATAAACATATAAATATATTTATCCCTTAAAAAGTGTTTTAAAGACCTTATTTACACATTGGGGCAAAAAGTATATGTAAAATACGTTATAAATTTCGGCAACAAGAGTGGAACCCTCAATGGTTACCAGCAAATATTGCTGGGAGCAGCTAGCAAGGATCCATATATATATATAGATATTTACACATGCACATAAGGTAATTAAGGGAGCTAGAAAGGGCACACATATACATGTCCATACGATAATTAAATGATAATTTGGTGGATGGTTTTCAGAGAAAGTTTTGTGAAGACATATTTTTGAAAGCGTGTGGTTGTATCTACACAGGTATGAAGTTAGGTCAAGCTATAAAAAGACAATCAAACGCGCAATTCACCAATCAGATACATATTAAGAGGCCTATTACACTACTGAATGTATCGTTCTTTTATAGCCTAGATATGCCTTCGAGATACAGCATGTTCCAATATGAGATATTATGTACTCCTTTCCTAAATAACTGTATCTGAAATTCATGTTTGTTATTATAATGTTATGTATTCTGATTAAAATCAGAACTCCACAGTCCTAAGCAGTGGTCAAATGCTAAATAAAGAAGTGAAGGAACACAGAAAAGAAGCGGGAGAAAGCAAAACTAGGTAGATCCCTTTCCACACGTTTTGATAACCACATATAAATTTTTAATATTGAAGTTTGATTTGTTGACAAAGTTAATAGGTTCCCAGCAAAATTCTGCAAGATAGAATCCAAAAGGACATGACACAACATATGGAAGCAAATACTACATGTAGTATACTATTTATGGCCGGATGATGGTGGGTAGGTGTTTGGACCCATCTCCCCCGAAACGCACACACACACACAAACGTACAGTCAATTGTCACTTAAAATTTGACCATCGTTTAAATTCTTATTCGGGTTTATTGGGTATTATGCACACTTTGAGTAAAATTACACATTATTTTACTCTGGTGCATTTTTTAGAAAAGTCAGGGCCCGTTTTAAATTTTGACATCCATAAAAACAATTTACCTGATCCTGCCCTTTAATTAGATCATAAAACAATTTCTATATTGTAATGTATATGGTGAATGCATTGTTTTTTAAATCGCACAATGCTCTATAATTAGTCTAAAAAGAAAAGAAACACTATCGGACTTAAATAATAAATAATTCTAACAAAAGCTAATTTTTGTTTATCTCTTCACATATCAAAGTGACTGTACCGTGATTAAGCAACCTCGTTTCAA